TCAGAATTTGGAAGATTCAATATCCAAATAAATGAGAGTCGAGACCATTTGATTTACTTTCAATTTATCCCTCGCAAATTTTCAAAACATTCGATGGGGGCATGTTGGATTATTATTGAAATAAGGGGGAAAAAACAAACATGTTCCAAGAGTGAGAACGCAAAAGTTTTCATAAGAGAAATTCTGAGAATGGATAATAAACTATCAGCATTTCATGCTTTTTGAAAGAAACTCTGGACAAGAAAGCAGCACGTGCGTTTTCTTTGTTTTGGATTCAAGACCTTCCTTGACTCTTGCGTTCCCACCATTCCATGAACTTCACTTGAGCCGCCATTGTGTCCAGCTTATAGAGTTGCAGAGTGTGGTTAGCCACTTCTTGCCCAAACGTCCAACCAAAAACACCTCCTCCTACGAACGACAATGCAGCACCTGTCGCACCAGTTTACCAGTTAGAGGTGTTTGAATGTATCAAGAGATAATACAAATACAATTCTTACACAGCAGGTATCGCTTTAGTATTTCGCAACATGTAATCCCTATGAGAACTGCATAACCTTGCTTTCTCAATATGGGAAGTAGTGTCTAGTTAACTCCTGTAAAGTTTCATTTTCCTTGAATAGCATGTTTTGTGTTGCGTTTGAAGAAACGAGCAAAGAGGTTTTGTAAAAGATTCTCAAGGGTTATTCACAGAGGGAAAATGTCTTACCATGTGGGCTCTTGGAGTATTTCCAGGCAAAAGCAGCGGTCGATACAGCTCCAACTACAGATCCAGTAACACCAAACATCACAGCTTCCCTAGCAGTTTTCAGCTGAAAAGGGATAAACACGATGTTAGCCAAATTCCCGAGGATCAAAACACCTCTATCTTCATTAAGAATACCGAATACGTACATATGGCCCGTAATTTAGCAAGAAGTTTAAACAAGGAATTCAAAGTCTCCTCCAGAAAAGTATAAATGTTTCTATTAGAACTTCAACAGGGATTGATAGAGAATCTCACTCTCCCAACCCTTCCCCAATGCTTATCATATTCTGCTCTAGTCTATTTAACTCCTGCTTCTTCTCACTCCTACTCTTTATCAGTTTCATACAGTCAAATATGGTTTAAGTTCTCATTGATTGGAATGATAATAATCTATTCCTGCCTAACAAATTCACACTGAAAATCTTTACAAGGATTGATATCAACCCACAAGGATTCACTGAGCTCCTTTCTCTTCTATAGCAAAGCTCTTTGCTTTCTATAACTCCTATATTTGCTTTCTATAACTCCTATAGATCTAAAGCCAAAATCCTACCCTATTCATCATCATTGATTTTACCATCACCACCATCATTGTTATATCACAAACAAACAGAACCTCTACGAGAACGGGAAAAGCAGGCACAACGAGTGAATCCAGTGATACCTCCTCTAGCAGATATACGATATAATAGGTAATTCCATAGATAAGGATCAAACAACAACAAAATCAATCCATGGATACCACAACCACAGAGAGAGAGGAAGGGAATTACAGTGGGTCCATGAACGGAATCGGAGGCAATAAACTCGTTGACGTCGGAGGAAGACCAAGAAGGAAGAGGCGTGTCTCGTTTCGTGAACCTCGTGTAATTTTCCAGAAATGAGACCTTCTTCACCCAGAAACCCTTGAATCCATCCACATATCCACCGAGAAACGACTGCGAATCCGTCGTCGCCGATACAGACCTCGAATCTCCCATCTCTGAATTTCTTCAAACGTTCTTCGTTCACAGATCGAAATCGAAAATTTCCTCCTATAGATCTTTCTTTCTGATTCTGATTCTGATTGATCCTATTCCTACTCTCAAAGGCGTGTAGTGGAGCTCCACTCCTCTACGGTGCACAAACGATCGGTTCAGTAAACCCACTAATAAAATCACGCCACGTGTGATTTAACTTCTTTTTATTAATTTATCAACTAGTAATGACTGCATCAACTACACTCCCACCAAATTTCTTCTTGGTACAAAACTCCCAAAAATCACAAGAAAAAACCCACAAAAGCAACAAAAAAAAATGGCAACAACAATGAGCAATTTCGCGAAGATGTTTCTCGTCTTCGCGATCTATTGCGCTCTAGATCCATTCAAGCACAGTTCAATCTCCAAGTTCCCGGACTTCGAGACTTACTACATTGGCATGCCTCCGTTATCGGAGCTCCCCAAGGAGAGAGACCATGAGAATCTGCTGCAGAAATCGGAGATTAGGTTTCTAAACGAAGTTCAAGGACCGGAGAGTATTGCTTTCGATCCTCTTGGTCGTGGTCCGTACACCGGAGTCGCCGACGGTCGTGTTATCTTTTGGGATGGTACTCGTTGGACTGATTTCGCGTATACTTCCAACAATCGGTGAGTCTGTGAATTGAAAAATTGAAATCGAGTTTTTGTGTATTTTGCCCAATTCGTTTCTAGTACATATCTCAAATCTTGTATTATGTATGTTTGTTAGGTCAGAGCTATGTGATACGAAGCCGTCATTGTTGGCTTACTTGAAGGATGAGCACATTTGTGGTCGGCCTTTGGGTCTTCGATTCCATAAGAAAACTGGGGAATTGTACATTGCGGATGCGTATTTTGGGATAATGAAAGTTGGTCCTGAAGGAGGTTTGGCTACTTCTCTTACGACCGAGGCAGATGGTGTGCCTTTGAGATTTACCAATGATCTTGACGTTGATGAACAAGGAAATGTTTACTTTACAGATAGCAGCACTTTTTTCCAACGAAGGTATGTATGCGTTTTATTACTTAACATTTAGACAAATTGGTATTCTTTTTTTATCTTTGAGCTAGAGCCAGGACTTAGAACCCATGTAATGTTAATTGATTTTATCTCTGCGTGAAATTTGTTCAAAGCCTTTGATGTTGAATTCTGTTTATCTTTTGAGAATCTATAAGAAGTTGTGATGAGCTTCTGTGATTACTTGTGATTTAACCAAGTTGTGAGTCTACTATTCTTGACTTTGTTGAATTTTGTTTTGGAACACATTTCAGGAACTTCATGCAATTGATTGTCTCGGGGGAAGACACCGGGAGGGTTTTGAAATACAATCCAGAAACAAAGGAGACTACTACTCTCTTGACAAATCTCCAGTTTCCTAATGGCTTATCCCTTGGCAAAGACGAATCCTTTTTCATCTTTTGTGAAGGATCAATCGGAAGGTGAGTCTTTTATCTCTATTCCTTAGTGACTCCATCCTCGTCAACAAGTATCATTTGATAGTATCCTCCACATCATTTTCTGTTTTCAATGATCCTGCTAGAATCTGTTAAAATGAAGAATCAAAGTCTCATACGTCTGTGATTTTTTTGTCATTCAGATTACGGAAATACTGGTTGAAAGGTGAAAAGGCCGGAACATCAGAAGTGGTAGCTCTATTACATGGGTTCCCAGACAATATCCGCACAAACAAAGACGGGGATTTCTGGGTAGCGATCCACTGCCACCGCAACATATTCACACACGAGATGGCGCATCACACGAGCCTAAGAAAGTTCTTTCTGAAGCTGCCAATAACAGTGAAATTCCAGTACTTGCTGCAAGTAGGTGGTTGGCCTCATGGCGTGGCTGTGAAGTACAGCGAAGACGGGAAAGTGTTGAAGGTATTGGAGGATAAGCAGGGGAAAGTGGTGAAAGCAGTAAGTGAAATTGAGGAGAAAGATGGGAAGCTTTGGATGGGAAGTGTATTGATGTCTTTCATTGCGGTATATGACTTGCCTTAGTTAAAAAAACTTATGGTTTGATTTCGAGTTGGCCAAGGGATTCTTATCAAAGCCTCTGTAATTTGATGCAAACAAATACAATATGTCACTCATGTAAAGGTCATGTTTTCCGGTAATAACACGCGTAAGTTTTACACGGTAAAAACAAAATCTGATCAATGCTGTCAAGTTTTACACGCGAAGTCTACAAGATGAATAGCAGTAATAAGGAATGGGAGAGACTGGATTCGTTGGAGGAAGAGGAGGCGTTGGTTTGGGATTTAAGCGTCACTTTGCCAACCAAATGTGTATCCGGAATCAAGAAAGACTCCTATATTTCTGTGAATATTGTCACGATTCTAGATCGTCTTCTCTTAAAGCAAGTACTTGTGAGATTTCTACGCAGAGGATTGAACGTTTCGAACAATGTAGGCACTTGCGTGGAGCTAGAGATGCTCGGTGGTTCCTTCCTTGTGTTTGGTGTTGGGGAGGAATGATACATTTCAAGTCTATTCAACATTTTATAGATCAATAAAGACCCAAAAGAAAGGAAAAAACAGAGAAGGCTTGAATTCATCCTTCAAGTAAAACTTTGCATCCTAATTTTATGTCTGCTTCATTAAATATTAGTGTGCTTCGAAATATATGTATGTTTTGCAAGTCTAAAAGGCTTGAAATCATGATAAACACACTTGATAACGGAAAACTTAATTTGATTTTAAAGACTCAAGCTCAAACTCAACTCAGGAGAAGTAATTAATATGTGTCTAAACACAAGTTCC